TGATGCCATCTCTGGGAGTCTTTCATCCAGGCTTTGGGAGGTGCATAAATGGCCAAAGTTGGACAGTTTGTTTTATCTACAGGCACCCCTTACCTGCACAATGTTTTGGTAAAAGTTAACTGACCCTTTTATCATACAGGGCATTAATAAATGCTACTCAACCTGAAATGAATAAGGCCCCATGTACACGGGACACTTCTGCACGATGGAAACTGACTGCTGGAAAACGTAGGTTAAAAAACCTCTATTTAGCTGTGTTTGCATAACGCATTTATGTGCATTTGCGTTTAGAAGCGTTTTTTAAAGATAACCACAGGAGAACCTCCCAAATGCACTGAAAAGTGGTAAATTATTAACTATTTCAGACTGTTTCAGAGAAATACACAGCGTAGAAGCAGAGACAGCACTACGTGTTGAGATTAGCTTAGGTGTGAGTTGCTCATTAACATTTCTTTTGTTTCCAAGGGTGGTAAAGGTGTCTGCTGGAGTGAGTCATTAAGGCCACCATGCAGGGGGTCTTCATGAGGAATTTGAGGTGTGAATAGTCATTAACATATCTTTTGTTTCCAAGGGTGGGAGAGGTCCAGTGTTCAGTGTTTTGTTCATTTGAGTACCTTGAAACCACTTTGCATGCACTTTTAATGATGAAAAAAGGCTCTGGACAGCATCTAGAGCTGGAAGAGTTAAAAAAAACATTTCAAATGCAAACATTTACAAACACGATTTGCCACGTTCAGCGTTTGAAACGCTGATAAAATCAACTGCTGAACGCAAGTTTTCTGCGTTAAAAAAAAACGACTGTAAACTCAAATGCTGGTAAACTATTGTAAACGAAGATGTGTACATGGACACATAGGAAAACATTAGGGTGAGTTCAGGGGCTGCTGAAAAAAGCCACTGAACAGCTCCTACATGTGAGTTTATCAGCTGCAGTGTACATGAGCCCTAATTTACCCTTGTATTGTATTATATTGTAACTGTACTGTCTCCCTTTATGTTTTAAAGTGCTGCACAAACTGTTGGTGCTATATAACTACTGTATAATAATAATAATAAATACAATGTTGTCATTCTGTTTTCTCCAAGTTAAAAGTTTTATGTGCAAGCTCTATCAGTTGTGCTGTCATTAACTTTTCGAAAGCACCAAGACTGTGACATGGCCCTGAGCAATTTTCTAACCTCTACTATCAGTGTTCCCCTACAGGAGTCAGCCAGCACCACAGAAGAGAGATCATTAGTTCATCTGAAAACACAGTCGTGCAGACAACTTTCATCTTATGTGCTTAGTTTACTTTAAGCACCCAATCCAAATAAAAGCCAGTTTTTTATATTTTTCTTTCTTAACTGGCATAGATGTTTAGTATGGGCATTTATGCAAAAAAACAAAAATTTGAGAAAAAAAAATAGTAAAAAGTAAAAACACTCTAGCAGACAAGTACTAGCTAGTACTAGTACAAGTCCTTGCTGTCTGTTACAAGACCTGATTTGAATACTTTGCATGTTTCATGCAAAAAAATCTTATGACTTTAATTTTGCATCACTTTGCAAGTTTCATGGCCATTTCACCAAGTGTTGTACATTTTGCCTTCGGACATCTCTACTTTTCTTCTAGGTAAATATGCAAAGGCAGTGAATATATGCACTAAAGACGAGATACAACCCTTACACCTGGACTCCAGCCAAACAACAAAATTCACAGTTAAAATACATATATGTGAAGTGCTTTGCCTGATGTAATTCTGTTCAGCTAGTCTTAAGATTCCTGCACCCTTTTAACACCGTATAACCAGACAGGTGATACTATTTTCTGTTTCAACTTTGCCACTTCTTGAGTTACATTTCTGTTCATTGCACAAAAAATCAATACCTTCACACTGCTGATTCTGCATGGGTGATTTACTAAACTAGTACTTTTTGGCTAAGCTTACTCTTAATACCCACTCATGTGCGGACAAATGAAAAAAAAATAATTAAAAGTATTTCCTTGGATGTGATTGGAGGGTTGAATTGAATACAGTCCCACTAAGTGAAGGGAAAAAGGTACTGCTTTAAAAAAAAAATAAATCCTCCTGGCCAATGAGCTGGCAGGTGACACAGGAAGCTGCTGAAATAAAAATAGAAAAATGTGGTGTCACTCTCCTGATTATGAATAGGCTCTATGAGTGAGCTCTGTATGGAATAAAACATGTTGGGAGGTCTGATAACAAATGGAACAGTCTGTATATTGTTGCAGTCAATAAATGTGTACAAGGCTTTTAAACAGTGTGCAGCTTCCCCTTCTCTTTGTGAGTATTGTGAATGAATACTCTCCTGATTATGTTGGCTGGCAGGAGTATATGCTGTGACGGTCTCCTGACACCTTAACTGGGTGTCTGTGCTGGAGAGTCGCTTCCTCACCTCTGGAACACAGAAACAAGGGATTATAGCGGGAATTACACCCAAGAGCTAAAAAAACCCACTAGCTTAGGTGCAAACAGGAACTGTTTTTACTGAAAACTCACACAGAATGTATACCACATAAATCAGATAAGAGCTTGATCACATTACCCTAAACCAGGGGTCTGCAACCTGTAAGACATAAAGAGCCACTTGGACCCGTTTCCGAGAGGAAAAAAAAAGACTGGGAGCCGCAAAACCATTGCAACATTTAAAAACAAATCCGACACTGCATATATTGCAAAAAGCGCTCTAGTCATGAAGGGGGTTTAAGGGCCCAGTAAGCAAAGGGCTAATCAGGGCCACAGTGTATCGTCATAATCACAATCATAGCCTTAGGTCAGTGGTGGGCAACCTTTTTTTCCAACTGAGCCAAATCTCGCCAAAACCACGATTGAAATTTATTTTGAGAGCCACATTTTTAAAACTGAAAATACATCCCCCATATAGTAATTCATCCCCCATATAGTAATTCATCCCCCATAGTAATTCATCCCCCATATAGTAATTCATCCCCCATAGTAATTCATCCCCCATATAGTAATTCATCCCCCCCATAGTAATTCATCCCCCATATAGTAATTCATCCCCCATATAGTAATTCATCCCCCATAGTAATTCATCCCCCATATAGTAATTCATCCCCCATAGTAATTCATCCCCTATATAGTAATTCATCCCCCATAGTAATTCATCCCCCATAGTAATTCATCCCCCATAGTAATTCATCCCCCATATAGTAATTCATCCCCCCTATAGTAATTCATCCCCCCTATAGTAATTCATTCCCCATATTGTCTCAATTCACTTACCTTTGCTCCGCGCGTTCCTCTCGCCGTGTTCCCGCGCCGTTTCTGGTCTTCAGGGCGGACTGTGAGAGGAGAGGAGTTTGTCACGCTGCCCCGCCTCCATCCTGGCTGCCCCGCCTACATCCTGACAGCTGCAGAGTCCTGTCTTTGGGGCGGCCGCCCGAGAGGAGGCAGGGGAGCGGGTGCCCGGCACACAGAAGAGCCGCGTTTAAGTTTGTAAAGAGCCGCATGTGGCTCGCGAGCCACGGCTTGCCGACCACTGCCCTAAACCAATAGTCTCCAAACTGCAGCCCTTGGGCCAGATACGGCCCTTTGTTTGCTTTTATCTGGCTCTTGTTCCTGCCACTGACACCAACAATAGGGCACTAGTCCTCTCAATGACAAAAACGATGAGACACTATTTATACCACTGATGCCAACAATGGGATACTATTCCTCCCATTGATGCCAACTATGGAGCACTATTCTTCCATTGATCACAATGATACGGCACAATTCCTCAGATTTATACCAACAATGAGGCACTATTCCTCCCACTGACACCAACGATGGAGCACTAGTCCTCCCACTGAAAACAATGATGGGACACTATTACTCCCACTGACACCAATAATGAGGCACTATTCCTCCCATTGATACCAACAATGGGGCACTATTCCTCTCATTGATTCCAACAATGGGGCACCATTATTATTAATATTATTATTATTATTATTCAGGATTTATATAGCGCCAACAGGTTGCTCAGCGCTTTACAATATAACGGGAGACAATACAGCAACAGTACAGTTCAGATCTTGGGAGCTTACAATCTAGGAGATTCCCCCTAATACCAATAATGGGGCATTGTTTACTGACACCAGGATATTTTCTAATCCCATTGATCACAGTCCGGCCCCCCTAAAATTTGGAAGATGGTAATCTGGCCCTCTATTTAGAAAGTTTGGAGACCCCTGCCCTAAGCAATGCCCACCCTAGACAGCCTAGTGCAGCACAAATCCTAAATACACCACTAGGTACATTGGCTCAGTGATTAGAACTTCTGCCTCGCAGTACGTAGTTTGCATCTGACATTTGCACATTCTCTCTGTGTGTCCAAGTGGGTTCTGGTTTACTGTCATACTCCAAAGACATGAATAAGGGGCTCCTGACTGAACTTGACACTATGATATGTGTACAAATTGGGTAATAACGTGTTATCACATTCTGCATGCCATTACCAAGCCCAGCAATTGGGGAGGGTTGAGGAAAGATATAGTGACCTACCTTGTAAAAAAAATTTCCAAGAAAAGTTTATGGAAAAGGCTATTAAGCATTTCAGATATGGTGCCCAGAAAGATGATGGCCTATAGAATCGCAGCGAGTTGAAACACAACTGAACAAATACACAGTATACATACTGTACTGTATATACAATACGCCATGTGATTTGTGTAAATTTTAATGACAGCTCCACATCAAGCATTCCTGCTCTTGATGACTGGATCACTATTCTATGTCCTGTTGGGCATTGTAGATCATAATTTTTTGAGAAAAATACAGCAGAGGCAGATGTCTGTACTGGGCTACTAAAGTGATAATAAACCCAAAAGCAAACATTTATTATATTCTTGCTTACCAATTCTTAGATGTGGTGGCTGCAATAGCTTTTTTTTAGGCTTTTTCCCTTTGTTTTCATCTTGTGCACAGATGTTTAGTTTTTTTTTTAAATGAAGGAAATACTCCAAAAGAAAGAGTATTTAAAGTGTTACTAAACCCAGGAGCCTGCATTCACTATATCTGGTCTCCCACAGTACACACAACATGGAAATGAAATAATTTTTAGTAAATATAAATTGCTTTTCTCATCAGCAGTTAGAGCAGTCTTGTGACTCCTATCAGTGTCCAAGAGAGCACTGGTTACAGCTTGTAGGAAATTTAATTCTCCCCTGATTGTCCAATGAGGCTGCAGGACCCCTGACCTCTATCTGGACAGTGCTGATTGGCCCTGTGCTGATCACATGCACTCTCTCAAGAAAAAAAAAAAAACTCTGTAGCAATACACACCAAACTAAGCATGTGCAACTTGCCCAAGGCTCTTTTCTCTCAGGATATGGATTGGGGACAGTAGAAGAAAGGGAGGATCAGAGAAGACAGGATCAAACAGCCTTTTTACACTATGCAGAGGATTAAGCCCTTACGTTCCACAGTGAGTATAACAAGCATGCTTTAGTGTATATACAGACTGATGTTACTGTTGTGGGTTTAGTAACACTCTAAAGTAAATACATGGTCACTTTTAATTGCATACAAGCCTTTGATTAATGGTAGACAGAGTGTTCCATCTGGAGCAGAGATGAGTTTGGCCATCCTCTGAATTTAGGTGTCCGTTTATGACACAGAGAATAGCTGCGATTCAGAGGATCGCAGCTATTCTCTGGTCATTCACAGTTTATGACACTCAGGAGATCAGCGGAGAACATGTTCAGCCCTTCACTGGAGATCTGTGTTCTCCCTCCAGATTCTCCAGCCTAGAGCTGGAGAATCAGAGGGACCGCAAACTAAGCAGCGATAATTTACCTCTGCTTAGTAAACTGATCTTTTACTGTAATCTCGCGAGATTATAGTAAAATCAGCCGTTTTCCACCATTTGTAGACCGTTCTCCAGCGTTTGTAGACCGTTCTACCTTCGTTTGGAGAACTGCTTCATAAAAGGCATTCACAGGAGAACTGTGTTCTCCTGAGAATGCCAGAGAACTGAGCAGCGATCATTTATCGCTGGTTCATAAACGGACACCTTAGTTCTTTGATGAGTTCAGAGGGTGCCTGAGCTCATCTCTAATCTGGGGAAGTATATATACACAAGTGCATTTGCCTTTCCATAATAGAAGGGCAAATAAAATGGTTTTTCAATATAGAAGGAGTTGCTGGCACATAGAGTTGAATTATTGGAAGAAGGCTCAGAGATTTGTTGAAAAGACTTTGTTTTGTTCACATTCTGATTGTTCAGATGTGTCAATGTGTGTATCACACAGGATAGAATTGATGATAAAAGATATCAAGATTTGTTAGAAATACTTTATTTGGATCAAAGAGAAAACAAAAAAATCTGCGCTAATAGTGAAAAAGTGGAAAAATAGCTGCTGGCAAGACAATCAGGTCAATTGTATACAAATATTATAAATAAATTTCAGCACCGCAATGTAGTGCATATTTGCACTACAAAGTGTTTAAAATAAGCTTTGCAACAATTTTTATTTTTTAACTTTTATGTAGCAGCTACACTAGAAGGATTTTGTTAACATTAATTAGCTCAGAGATCAAAAGTTTCATACCCATGTGTGAGGGGTTTGGGGGAAAGTAGTTCTTTATAATTACTCCCCCCTTTATTTGATCAGGTCCTTTTCTTAGCTGCAGAGATATGCCCAGTGGTTCTCAATGTTCTATAAACGTAGTCTCCAAAATGTGGCCCGGGGGCTGACTGTGGCCCTTTGCTTGCTATTATCTGGCTCTTGGGGCATTGTTCCCCCCACTGTAAAAAAACAGTGGGGCATAGTTCCCGCCACTGATGCCAACAATGGGGCACTATTCTACTGACACCAATAATGACACATTATTCCTCCCACTAACACCAGTGATGAGGCACTATTCCTTCCACTGACAACAATAATGGGGCATTATTCCTCCCGCTGACACCAATGATAGGGCACTATTCCTTCTACTGACACTAATGATAGGGCACTATTCCTCCCACTGACACCAATGATTGGACACTATTCCTTCTACTGACACTAATGATAGGGCACTATTCCTCCCACTGACACCAATGATTGGACACTATTCCTCCCACTGACACCAATAATGGGGCACTTTTCCTTCCACTGACACCAATAATGGGTCATTATTACTCCCACTGAAACCAATGATAGGGCACTATTCCTCCTACTGACACCAATGATGGGGCACTATTCCTCCCACTGACACCAATTATGGGGCACTATTCCTCCCACTGACACCAATTATGGGGCACTATTCCTCCCACTGACACCAATGATGGGGCACTATTCCTCCCATTGACACCAATGATGGAGCACTATGCCTTCCACTGACGGCAACAATGGGACGCGATTCTTCACACTGACACCAACAATGGAAACTATTCCTCCCATTGATACCAGTGATGGGGCACTATATTTCCCATTAATAACAATGATGAGGCATTGTTTACTCGCACTGATGCCAGGACATTTTCTTCTCCCAGTGGCCACAGTCTGGCCCCCCTAAATTCTGAAGGACAGTAAATTGGCCCTTTGTTTATAAAGTTTGGAGTCCCCTGTTCTATAATATTATAGGTACTTTTATAATGCTGTCAATTTACGTAGAGCTTTACATATTTATTGTACATTCACATCAGTCCCTACCCTCAAGGAGCGTACAATCTAAGGTCCCTAAAGCCTAGTACACACTACTAGTTTTGTTGTTCTGTCGGACCATCTGGCATACATACACAATGGCCGAATGTCGGTTGATTTCTATTAAACCAGCCGATGCCACCTGACATTCGGCCCGTGTGTGCTAGGCATAACTCACATTCATACATACACATACTAGAGCTAATTTAGACAATATCCAAACTACCAGCATATCAAAATGAAGTGAAATTGAATGATTCAACTACAAAACAAGCCAAGAACAATTGGCGACATCCATCTTGTGCCGTGCTGCTCGGTTTTATAAAGTGTTACTTTCTGGCTGTTAAGGTGCATTGATATTTTTGTTAAATAATAGTAACAGATTTTCTTATCTGAGTACATTAACCTGAAAACAGTTAGCTTTACTAAATGATCTAAATTCACACTTCTTACCTGCCATGAGGGAGACATGGAGGTTGATACACCAAAGGCAAACAGACCATACACTTTGCAAGTACAGTTGCTCCAGAGATTAGTAAATGAGAGGGGAGCACTGCTAACTTCTATTATCCAATCATGTGCAAGCAAAAGTACTGTTTTTCTCATATTCCTTGAATGTAGTTGGATGTTCTAAGTTGTAAAGTGAAATTTTACTTCATGTAGTAAGATCTGCTGCAAATACATTTTCAGAGTGCAACTGCACTTGCAAAGTGCATAGTCTCTTTGCATTTAGTAAATCAACCCCATGGAGACTACCAGGGGCGGGCTGACAACTCATGGGGCCCCCGGGAAAATAGGGGATCAGGGGGCCCCTGTGTCCTTGCCCAAACTCAAAAAAAGCCTATGAAAAAGGTACCAGGGGCATCTCATGGGGCCCCCTACTGACCCCGAGCCCTCAGGCAGTGCCCAAGTTTCCAAATGGTCAGTCCGCCCCCGGAGACTACCATTGTCTCTATAAATATTCATAGCCTGGCTGTCATGTGGATCCTCTTGCCTAAAGATGAGCTTGGGTTTGGTCCGAACTTGTAGACATATTGGGTCAATGATGACATGATCACCCCCGCCGCTTTGTGTAGGTGTAGCTGTGGGGCAGAGAATGCCCTGGTCACTGTTAATTGGGCGGCAGTGGGCCCAGACCTTATCCTTATCCAGTACTTTGTGGTTGATTTACTTAAACTGGAGAGTGCAAAATCTGGTGCAGCTCCGAATAGAAACCAATCAGCTTCCAGGTTTTATTGGCAAAGCTTAAAGCGGAGTTCCACCTGAAAAAAAAAAAAGTCAGCAACTACAAAAACTGTAGCTGCTGACTTTTAAAATACAGCCACTTACCTGTCCCTCGGTCCAGTGGTGTCTTCTCCACTGATTTTACCGGCCATCTTCTCTCCCTGGTGCCGGCATCTTCAGCGTGGGCACTTGGCTGTGACAGCTTTTGCTTCACAGCCGGGTGCCCACTGCACATGCGCGAGAAGTGCTGCTCATTGTGAATGGCCCCGTAGTCTTCTGGGACCTGTCACGTGTCCCAGAAGACTACAGGGAGGGAGGGGTAGAGGACAACCTCCGCTTCCGATCACCTAGGCGATCGCAGTGGAAGTGAGAGCGGGTACCAGTTAAATTCGGGTGCCTGCTTCCCAAAGGTGCCAAACCTTAATGAGGAGCGGGGGACAAAGACTTAAACTGGAACTTCCCTGTTTGGGTGGAGCTCCGCTTTAATTGAATAAGCTTAAAGTGTTACTAAACCCAGGACCCTGCATTCACTATATCTGGTCTAGCACAGTACACAGGACATGGAAATGCAATTAAGAGTACATATAAACTGCTAAATGTTTGTTCTCTTCAGCAGTTGGAGCAGTCTTTGTGTTGTCTATCAGTGTCCAACAGGGCACTGGTTAAAGCTTGTAGGAGGAGTTTTCATTCTTCCCTGATCCTATGAGGCTGCATAACCCTTGACCCTCTGTCTGGACAGCACTGATTGACTCTGTGCTGATCACATGCATTCTCCCAGGGAAAAAAAAACTCTCTCATAATACACACCAAATTGAGCATGTGCAGCTTGCCCCCAAGGTTCTGTTCTATCAGCAGATGGATTGGGGACAGTAGAAGAAGGGGAGGATCAGAGAAGACAGGATCAAACATCCTTTTTAAACACTGCAGAGGATTAACCCCTTAGCAAGCATGCTTTACTGCATATACAGACTGATTTTACTGTTGTGGGTTTAGTAACACTTTAAGGACGCTGATTGGCTACCACACACAGCTGCACCAGATGTTACACTCACTAGTTTTAATAAACCAACCCCTTTGTGTCTTTGACCTAGAACAGGTTCACAGATAAAGAGTTTTGATATTTGGTTTCTGACTCTATATTTTCTGGACTGCATCATTGTTCTAGGTTACTGATTCAGAAAGTATAGAAACATCACAGTCAGGAAACAAAATGATATAGACTGGATTCACACTTATAGATGTAAAGCCAAAAAATGTGCATTGCAAACAATTGCCAATTCTAAATATATACTGTTTTCTCATTTTATCATTCTTGGTTGCATCTCAGAACTGTTGATCTCCTGCAGCCTCTTTACAGCTAACTCTGGTTTACATACACTCTCTTTCTCAGGGCAGATTTCCTGATGGTGGCAAGAGTAGTTCATACCTGCATACACTCCATCAAAAGAATAACAAAGTGACAACACAGGAACACTATTAGGAGGTAGGACAGAAAGTGGTCACCCTGTACCAGGACCCTATAATAGGAATTGCCTATATTGAACTTTCACGTCAGGATTGCCAGGTATTATTTTAATGAAAACTGCAGGTTTAAAAACATTGAAAATTACTTTTAAAATTACATTCACATTTATTATCAGCTTATAGATTTCAGTGATTGGGGTTAAATATAGTTTAAAGCTCTCACTTTTCTTCTAGTCAGTATGGCTGGTTACAATATATTACTGGCTGTGCTCAGCTACGTAGCAAATGTCAGTATGTATGTACTGATCAGTACAATGTCAAATTCAGTCAAGACATACCAATAGATTTTTATCGGTACTCACTTGAATTTTATTCTTAGTATTCTTGGGTCAGCCCAGAAAATACATCTTAAGGTCATCTCTAGGAACATTTCACAAATCCCATCAGTATCTGGCTTTAACTTAAATCCCATTTCCTATTTTGCATAGCTTTCATAGCTTAGTTTACAAATAGTTATGGATAAACAACACCTAATCTCTAGCATGTTGGAACATTTCTGTGATGAATTCTATCAATGTGTGTCTCAGTAATCGATATGTGTCAGTCATGATCATTGTCTCCCATGTATAATTGTAGAACATAACTAATCGTTGTACTTCTGGCTGCAGGTGGGAATGTGAATGAGAAGCATTTGATGGAGAGTGCTAAATCATGTGAAAGAGAATTTATATAAAATAAACACCCTTTTTTCTGAAATAATACACCATCAGCTATAATTATTGTATATATTCTAAATAAATATATATATAATTATTTTGTTATTTTTTTTATATCTTATACCTATTATATCGTATACCTATTATACATACACAGTGTAGTTTCCTCTAGGTACTGTTGCTTAGAGGAAACTACACTGGGCTATGGGCAACGTGGATCAAAGACACCTCTATAATATGTCAATAATACATTTGATTTGGCACAATAGTGACTGTAATATAGGAAGGGCAGAATTATAACTGGCAATAGATTGGGCATAGTTCTTACAGATAAGTGTATAGCGGGTCTTATTGCTGATATTCTCATACCAGTCACTAATGTAATGTGCAAAATTAGACCGATTGTCTATAATAAATCGATTACTTTTAGGCAACATTAGGCACCTTCTGTCCTGGAAGAGAGATAAGATTATGGTAAGCATGGAGGGATTCCACCCAATAGCTTGATGTAATCCTTTATATCTGGAGCTTCAAGATTCATCATCAAGTATGTGACATGTCTGAAAGATCGGGTTTAAATTGTGTGTGTATTGGCCTCTCTTGTAATATTTATTCATATCTAGTACTTACCTGTTTCCCAATCTTCGGAACGTCCCTAGGAAACAAAACTAGCTGTTTCCAGGTCTCAATAATGTCACAATGTCACATATCTATAGATCGTCGAAGTAAAATCCCAAATTATGGCTAACGACGAACAGGCTAGATATATATAGGATCTTGTCCCTGCATTACACAACACTGATAAGGTTCAATTATGTGATTGTTAAAATATTATTATTATTATTATTTATTATTATTATTATTATTATTAACAACAATAATAATAATATTAATAATAAACAAACATGAAGAAGAAATAATAAATGCATGATGATGATAGTATTAATAATAATAATAAACAAACAAACATGAAGAAGAGGAAACAATAAAAAAACATAATGATGATAGTAGTAATAATAATATAATAATAATAATAATAAAAAAACAAAATGAAGAAGAAGAAGAAACAATAAATACATGATGATAATAATAACAAACAAACATGAAGAAGGAACAATAAATACATGATGATGATAGTAGTAGTAACAATAATAATAATAATAATAAACAAACAAGAAGAAGAAATAATAAATACATGATGACGATTATGATGATAATAATAATAATATTAACAAAAATCAATTACAAGTAGTAGTAAATATGGATGTGCCCCAGTTATATGTTACTATAAGAAAATATTGACCTTCACTTTGCATTTATGATAGGAAAATGAATCATGACAGGCTAAACAATCATATCTCTGTATATCACCGGTACACATTTCAGGGGAACCCGTCTATAACAATATGTACAATCAGCATCACATCCCTGATGTATGTAACATCTCCGAAGAATTTCTAATTTGCCGACAATTGAAATACATAGAAACCCAGCAAATCTATAAGCCTGCTGAGGATGGAAGTAATAGAATCACCATTCATATGTATCACCAGAACCAAATCTGTCCCCATGAAAAATATTTAACTCTACTTGCAAAGAAATGGTTTAACGGTGAAAAGAAAGAAAGAAAGAAAGAAAGAAAGAAAGAAAGAAAGAAAGAAAGAAAGAAAGAAAGAAAGAAAAAGAAAGAAAGAAAGAAAGAGAGAGAAAGAGAAAGAGAGAGAGAGAGAGAGAGAGAGAGAAGAGAAGAGAGAGAGAGAAGAGAGAAGAGAGAAAGAGAGAGAGAAGAGAAAGAAAGAAAGAAAAGAAAGAAGAAAGAAAGAAAGAAAGAAAGAAAGAAAGAAAGAAAGAAAGAAAGAAAAGAAAGAAAGAAAGAAAGAGAGACAACTTGTATGTACATTTTAGACAGAAATAATATATATATATACATCCCTTTCTGCATATGACATGTGGATGTAAAGTGCCTCTTGTAATGTGCAGTTCCAGTGACAATCTACTATGATGAGGCCTTGCAGTCCCATCTATAGATACATATATAAAAATATACCATGAATTATATGCCCATAGTGGGGCACAGGGCAGGCTGGGCTCTGCAGTTCTCCTCCCTGGGCCCCTGGCACTGTTTTTGGGGCCAGCCCTGGGATTGTGGACAGGTTGAGCTCTCTGAACCCGTGATTGGAGGGTAAAGGGCAGAGGTTTGTCATGGAAGGAGGAAGCTCTTAAACAATAAAGACTGGAGTATTCTGTGTGATCAGGTCGCTGCCCTCTCCTTATCTCCCTCCACATGCAAATGGTGACAAGGGGGGCTCCGTGGGGCGCTGACGTCACCTGCCATTGGTGTGCTCTTACTAATAGAGCCTTGTAGACAGTGAGTGTCGGCCAATGGAGTGACATGTCTAGGAGTGTCTGAGTCGGAGCCGTCCAGGAGCAGAGCAGGGAAGGAGCACAGTGCAGAGGGGATGAGTGCAGTATGCAGCTAGCTGGCAACCAGCTGCCATCATGTATGTCAGTTACCTCCGAGATAAGGACGTTGGCATGTACCCTGGATCTATGAGAGGCCACCCTGGGCTCCAGAACTACCCCACTGCCCCCAGTACCCTGACTATGGGGGGTACCCCGGACTGAGCTTAGAATCTGCAGCACCTTCTTCTGGAGCCTCACCTTGGATCACACCCTATGGGCCCCCCAGGGAGGACTGGTGCCACACTGCCTACTCAACAGGACATACTCCCATCAATCCTTCTCCAGGGGGCAGCCTGGGCTACAGCCCTGTGCCTGACTACCCAACTGGACAGGGCCAGGGGCCACCCTGTGTTGGGGTGCTACCAGCTGGGCATCAGCCTCCAGTCTCTCCAGGGGTGGCAGAGGGCCACAGGAGGGCACCACTAGTGAGTGGATGAGGAAGCCGGGCACACAGGGCAACCCAGGTAAGGCACAGCTCTTCTCTTCTTCCTATTATATATTTCATATATAGATTCTGCATATCAATGTATTTGTATTTATACATATTAATCCATTTACCGACACAAGTATAATGCAAATCAGAATCAATGGTGTACTATTGTATTGATGTATTTCTCCTGTATTTTACTCTTATGTATTCTGACCAAGGATCAATTATACTATTACACGTGTAATTCAGACGAAGACAAACACATATATAGGAAACATTGACAGGAAAATAGCTTACAATGCTGACATATATAAAGCTAAAATCTCAGCGATACATAAATAGAGAGATACATAGACATAAATCATCTAAAAATATAAGGCTGAAATATATAAATCTATATGAAGTCTTGCTGATATATATATATAATGCTGTATTGTTGGGGCTATTAATAGATAGATAGATAGATAGATAGATAG